TTTTTTTCTTTCTGTTTTCATGTTGTTTCACTAATTTTATCATCCAGTCATTTGTTGTTTCCATGTAAGTTAGTAAGCCAATAGTTGTTGTCTTGTATGACAATTCTAGCTGAATAAGACCTCTTCCACCTTCTTTACGGGGTATGTATAGACGGTCTACATCAGCCTTTGGATGATGCATCTTATACTTAGAAAGAAGCTTTCTTGTTTTAGAATCCATTTGTCTGATGTCATTTAGAGTCCAGTTCAAGATGTTGAAACTATATTGGACCACTGGGATGGCTAGGTTATTAATGGCCATAATTCTGTTCTGAGAATTCAATTCAGTTTTTAATACCAGTCGTACCCTTCTATAGTACTCTTTACGCACTATTTCTTTCATTTTCTTATGGTGAATTCCTTCACTCTCATTTACACCTAGGTACTTATAAGCTTCTCCTTGTTCTAAATCTTTTATTGTTACAGCAGGGTCTAAACTAATAGAGGAAGTTTGTTGTAGCGATCCTCGTAAAACTCTAGCTTTAGCACATTTATCCAAATTGAATTTCATTCCGATGTCTTCACTGAAGCATTTTACAGTTTGCAGAAGACCTTCCAGCTCATTGTCATTCCTAGCATACAATTTTAAGTCATCCATGTAAAATAGATGGTTTATTTTCTTTTGAGCTATTTTGTAACCGCATTCTGTCTTGTTAAGTTGGCTGGTTAATGCTATAAGTGATATGCAAAATAATAAAGGAGACAAAAGAGTCACCTTGAAATATTCCTCTATTGATGTTTATTTCGCCAGACTTATAGGTTCCATTTTTATGATTGAGGTAAAGTGTAGTTTTCCATATCGACATACATTGTTTGATGAAATTGATGATAACGGGTGATACCTTGTACATACTTAAAGACTTTAAGATCCAGGAATGTGGTACACTATCGAATGCTTTACGATAATCTATCCAGGCAATACTAAGATTTTTTTTTTCACGGAAGCAGTTTTCCAGGATCATCCTATTAATAAGTAATTGGTCTTTACATCCGTAGCAGCCTCGTTTGCACCTTTTTTTGTTCAAGTGGTAGTATGTCATTTTTCTTTCCAAGAAGAAATATGTCTGTTTTGTTAAAATAGATGTTAACAGTTTGTATGTTGTTGGAAGACATGTAATTGGTCTATAGTTTTTCGGAATATTTGTGTCACTATTTTGGGTAGAAGAAAGGTAACTCCTTTGGTCATCCATGCAGGAATTTTAGTTGGATCGGTAACCATTTCTTGAAGTTCTTTGGCGAGTTTTTTTTGTGCTGTATTTAAATAATATAGCCAGAAGTTAGAAATTTTATCTATTCCTGGAGATTTCCAGTTGTGTGCTTTTTTCAGTGCACATTTAACATCTTCTTCTGTGATTCCCGCCCATGTCTGTTCTGGTTTATTTTTCATTCGTTCTAACTCTTGCGCAATCCAATCTGCCTCTTCGTTGTGTTCTTTAGGGCAAGCCCATATTTTTCCCCTTAACTGTATAACTTCTTCCATTTAGGGGGACTGTCACTTCAATTCTTTGTTTACCTATTTCCCTGTAAAATTTTTTTTGCATCGGTTTGAAAGATCTTGTTCTGTCTATAGAATCTTGATCTTTTCTCGTAGCGTCTTATTCTTTGAGCCTTCAGTTGTATTGTTTGCTTTATTTTTCTTTAGTTGATAGGACTTCATTTTCATTCCTGATATTGTATTTTCTTTCGACTCTTCTGCCTTTTCTAGTTCTTACATTTACTCCTCTTGCTAGTTCATCGAGTACTGATAATTCACTTCTAAGGTGTTCAATTTCTTTTCTATTTTTCTTTTCAAGGTGGATCTTCATGTCTGTGAGACTGCCTTTTTTTTACTTTGATGTTCAGTTTATTTGTTGCTGCTATTGCTGATGCATATATTGCTTCATTGAGATTTATATGAGTGTCTTCTTCATCCAGAATCAATTTGAGTGCTGCATTATAGAGCTTAATAGTTTTGAGGTTATGCTTTGTTGGTTGTAATTTTGGGAGTTGTTCTCGTTCCTCCATTGCAATATTCTGTATCTGACTTATATGGCTCATGATTTCATCCTTGGCTTCTTGTATATTAATCTTGTTTTCTGTGAAATAAGTCTGTTCGATGAATTTTGAACTCGTTTTATTACCGTCTTGTGACTGACTAAGATCATACCTTTCCAACATTTCTAAATTTTCAGCATTATCTTCACAGTGATTTGTGTGTATTTCGGTTTTTTCATTATGACCTGAGGCTTGTGTGATGTTACTACTTTTTTTTTCCCGATTCCGGTTCCTTTTCATGTTTTGTTGGTTCATCTATTCTTGTTGCAATTCTTTTTATTTCATTAATTTCAGCCTCTGTCAATCGGTTATTTCGCATGATGTCCCTTCTTACATTGGCTAGTTTATTTTTTGTCTATGTACTTTCTAATTGTTTGCCCAACCTTCTCTCGCCAAATGTCATATGTTTGGCGAGTGATGTTTTTCTGAGGTTTGAGTAACGCTTCATGGAATGCAGTCATAACAACTTTGTACTCCTCACGAGACCATTTTATTTTTTTCTTTCCTTAAATTTACGGTTATGGATCTAGCTGGAGAATTTACAGGACCATCATTAGGATTATCCTGGTTGTGGGGACCTGAAGATTCATTCTTTGTGTAGGAGTTTGTTCCTATGGCAGATTTTTTTCGACCTCAGGTAGGTTCCCTCCTGAAGGACGGGCTCCCTGTTTATCCACTGGAAGAGCCATACTGGACGTTTTGTTTCTATTTTTAATTTTCATATTAATCCCACGAGTGACGCACGGGTCCAAAAGTCCACCCAAAGTTGCCCGGCACGTTGAGTAACGGTCTTTTACAGACAGGGTTCCGAAGCCTGTAGGGGATCGTTCGCGACCTCATAACGCAGTAGCCATTCACTCCTCGGCACGATTAACACCTTGAGTTGCGGGTTGTTGTTCGGAGTTTTCCTTCTCCTAAATGGGTTGCCAAGCAACAATAGACAGAGACACGATTGGAAATCAAAGAGAATGACGCTGGTTAAAAAAAAAAAAAAAAGTTTACATTCGTTTGTCTTTGCTGTGAAATTTAAATTATTATTATTATTATTATTATTATTATTATTATTATTATTATTATTAAGAGAAAACTGTATTTACTAATCATAAATGGAAAAACTTAATACAAATCATCAAATACCAATATTTTCAAAATAATTATTTTTTTTTTATTAGTGTATAAACGTTGCGTTTTTCGTAAGTACGGATGACCATACACGATATTATCAGAAAATAAGAATATACTATAGAAAGCATAAAGAAATACTATAGTAAATATAAGGCCAAAATGTCGCAAATTCAATAAGACATTAGATTACGTTGAAAATTTTCAGATTACTGAATACTTAAAAATTAAATGAAAGATATGCTCACGTCATTTTCTACGTTTTATAAATAAAGTCCCCATTGAACAACATTAGATCTGTTATCACGTTGTCAAACACGTAACAAAGCTGCCGTCTGGTTAAAAAAAGACACTTCTGAGATATTTTAAAGTTAAAGTTTCAAAGTTGATTATTTATATTCCAAATAAGTTAATATTTCTCAAATAAGATTTTAGAAAATTATATTTTATTTTTGGAAGGTTTTTTTTAATAAACTGAATTACATTGCGATGAAAGACATCTAAAATATGGCGCTAACCAGGTATTTGAGCAAAAAAGATAAATAAATTCTTTCTATATAATTTAATTTCGTTTTTGAAATACAGCAAAGTATTTTGCTATTGGAAATATTAAATTTAATCTATGAGCTTGAAATTAAAACTAAAACAAAAGCTTCAAGAAAGTTGTTGATTTTAAGAAAATCATTTTAAATGTTAGGCATCGCGTTTTCTTTTCTTTTTTTATGGTCCATAGTTTTATAGTATTATCATTTAAAGAATACACCATCCGGTTATGTTTTGCTTTCTGAGACAAAACATATTGATAATAAAAGTCTGTGAAATATTTAAATGAGTCTTCGACCAGAAGAAAGAATTACTAATTTTACGCCAAAACTATCATAACATCGTTAAAATACAATGTAAGGAAAGACTGCTTTTTGCAAGTGACATAACGACAGGAATTAAATGTGTTCATTGGTGTAAAAAAAAAAGTCCTGTATATTGTCATTTCCTTCCTTGATTTTGAAATCCAGGCAAAATAGCTAATAATTACGACTTATTCAACATGACACGTGACGAAATCATGTTTTAGTTAAACAATTAATATTGCAATGCTTTAGAGTTATCAGCCACTACGTTATCAGCTGAAGGCGCGTCTATGAAGGGTGTTAGAAATAAGACTTAGATTTAGTGGATTTAGCTGAGGGATTAGTTTGATAATGAAAAGATTATGAGAAATCTAACGAAAGGAAACGTTCTTGCATACATTATTAAAAAATCAACCGCACACACACACACACACACACACGTATATATATATATATATATATATATATATATATATATATATATATTGATAATATTAGTGGTCAATATACATACACACACACTCACACTCACACACACACTGGGGCAGAGAAGAAAAAAACCATAGAAAGAAAAAGAGGGAAGGAAGTTAAGAGAGAAGAAGATGTCACTAATTTTCTTTGTGAAAAAGGCTAGAAACAGACGCTGTTATTTTGCTTTTACTTTGAAAGTGTTATTTTGGGGTTTTTATATATATATATATATATATATATATATATATATATATATATATATATATATATCCAGGTAGAACTCAATGTCCAGGACAGAGTAAGAATATAATATAAAGGACTCAAACTCTAATATTCCATGGTTATAATTTATTACATTGGAATTGTAATCACGATCCAATTAAAAAAGAAACCCGAAAAAATATATATTGCCTCAACACGTGCGTCAGTTTATTCTGAAGAAAATATTGTCTTCCGCGATTATTTCACTTTCTTCACTCTGTCAAGGTTAACGATAATTATAAAAGCACTACATTATATAATATATTCTATCTATCTATCTATCTATCTATCTATCTATCTATCTATGTTCATTATCAGTCTGTCTCCATCGATTAATATCTATCTGTATATATATATATATATATATATATATATATATATATATATATATATATATATATATATATATAATTAGAGCTTTGTTATTCATTTTTATCTACCTCTGTTAATATCTTTATGCCAGTGTACTTTAATATGTTCATATCTATCTATCTATCTATGTTCATTATCAGTCTATCTCCATCGGTTAATATCTATTTGTATATATATATATATATATATATATATATAATTAGAGCTTTATTTTTTATCTATCTCTGTTAATATCTATATGCCAATGTACTTTAATATGTTCATATCTATCTATCTATCTATCTATCTATCTATCTATCTATCTATCTATCTACGCATAATTAGGCCTTTCCCTCTTAATCTCTTCATATATATCTGCGCACACACATACATATATGGCTTTCGCTTTCAATCTGTTCATGTCTATCTAAACACATGCACACACACACGCATGTGTGTGTGTGTGTCCGTCTGTCTACCTTAATCTAATCATATATTTCTATTTATCTATCTACAGTATTTTAGATTTTATTATTCACGTTCAGATTATCCCAATGGAATTTAAATTAACCAATGTTGGCAAAATCTCCACGATATACCTCTCTGATAAATAAACTCTATGCTTTTCTGCTTATCATATGTTGTTGTTGGACAAATTTCCAATAACTTATTGGATGGCGTGCGATTTTATTAGATTGGAATAGACCGTCATTCATTCCAGTGTAAATGAATCTATTTAAAAATCTAATATTCATGTTATCATTTCAAACATGTTAATGACATCAAAAATATGAAAGAAAAATTCAGAATACATTTCAAAGACCGATTTGATAAGTGCGATGTATTTATTTATATTCTTTTCTATAATTTTTATAAGTATAATTATTCCTCTACATATATATAAAGCACAAAATTCTGTTTACGTTGACATAAGCAAAATTGTATAATTTTACGTATAGCAATGTATTATTATTATTAATGTTAATAATAATAATAATTCAGATATATGAAGATTGCCATGTGTTATAAGGAAGTGTTTATCTAAGGGCAACAAATTTTGGCATTTTTGGGACTTGTAAATTTAAATATCTGTGTTCTGTCAGAAGACGGATTATTCGATACTGAGATCTGAAGACGTATTGGGATGAACAAAGATGCATACTAAAAGTTAAGCACAGTATTAAGAGACGGGAAAAACAAAGAAAAGAGTACTGAACTCTTAATTGATATCTGTCCTCCTGTATGGTAGCAAATGTTGGACAATCTCCTCAAAGGTGAAGAACAGACTTCAAGCAACAGAAATGTGGTTCTACAGAAAGATGCTGAGGATACGATGGACAGAAGATGTAAGCAATAACGAGGTTTTGGAAAAAAGGTGAACAAAAAAAGAAACTTATACTTAACATCAAAAAGAGGCAGTTAACGTTTCTGCAGCATGTGAAAGAAGGCTTGGAAAATTTGATACTCACATGAGTTGTAAGCTCGTTTTATAACGTCGAGTATAAAATGGCGACGGTAGTGAATAAGTCTAAATGGTTTTTTTTTTCAATGTATTCCACTTCGTCAAGGTATTTTGTGCTATTATATCCTAAGGACATACAAAGTTTACAATTTCAAAATAGCAGACGGCTATTCCAATATCAACAACACAAATATCATAATCTTACCCTCCAACACACTATCTACAAAATTTGAAAATAAATTAGTTATCTCCAATACCAGCGTCTTTACCACTAGCTACAAGACAATTGGCGATATATTTAAGGATAAAAATACATCTAACACCACACCAGACGGCGAGATTTGCTAAATAATATACCTGCAATGTATAAATAGTTACATTGGCGAGACATCAAAGAATCTAAAAGCCAGCATCTATGAACACAGGAGACATGCGTTGTAACATCTCTTTAAACTCGCTCTTAATACACAAGAACAAAACTGTTCATAACATTCGTAAAATAATTGTCATAGACAGTTTTGTTCATGTGTAATATAGATTTTATAAAAGTTGATGATAGAATATATTGAGTTTGACCCATCTTTATAAATGGTAAAATATTTAACAGAATCCCTTCGAAGTATTTCCTACTTAAAAATTGTGTTCTTTTTAAGTAGGAAATAATTCGAAGGATTCTGTTAAATATTTTACCATATATAAATTTACGCAATATATTAAATCATCAACTTTTATGAATATCACTCCAACCGATATTTTATAGGATACTCAAATTTGAATAGGAAACCTACATTTTTAAACAGTGAGAATTACCCCCACTTGCCTGTTCATTCTAGATATTTAATAAGGTAAATGTTCTTTCAATCCAAGTTGTTACTTTCCTCTTCCATTGAAGGGAGGCTACCGTCTGATCCAATGTGCACAAAGAGGGGCGTAGGTTCTGTTTCGGAAAGTACATTTCCTTTGTTAATACGCAGGCTGGTAGATGTAATTAACACTCTTTCAAATAAAAACAAGGCGTCTGCACAAACATGGTTATCCACATTTGGTATAGTCGTAAATAATATTGGCTAAAGAATCCATTGTTGCCTTAGAAATACACATACACACACGTACGCACACACATACATATATGATATATATATATATATATATATATGAATATATATATATATGAATATATATATATATGAATATACATATATATAAATATACATATATATGAATATATATATTAATATGCATATATAAATGGATGAATATATATATTCATATATATATATATGAATATATATATATATATAAATGTATATATGAATATATATATGAAAATAAATTATATATATATGAATATATATATGATATATATGTGTGTGTGTGTATATATATATATATATATATATATATATATATATATATATATATATATATATATGTATTGTTATCTATCTACCTAGATCCGCTAATATATACAACCTTGTCTCATTAATGCTAATTAGTGTATTTTCATTCATTTCATCTTTTGTCTGTAAAGCCTCACAATGTCATATTTTGTAATCAACTCAATACAAACGAACCAGATGCATGCCGGAAATAAATAAGAACACTCGGCGATGTTAACAAGCCTTGCATTATTAATGCCTTTCCATACCCAAACTGGAAACGCGTTCAACAATTTTAGGGCGACAATGAAGTGTTTTCTTAATATATAGTCAGTGTAATTACATAAGAACAATGGGGGGAAAAAGACGTTCGTCTTATGACACCATCAGCGAGCTTTTTAAGCTCATCTCCCCGCCCCTCTAAATAATGAATAATTCATTGATAGGTTCATTCTCTTCGGGGTATCCTCGATTCTTTTTTCGTCTATATTATGCAGTAATCCGTTATAAGTGAACTGACTACTTTCTCGTTTTCCTCACACGAGAGTCCCTATGCTACTCCTACTCTCTTTCTCTTTCCCTTTAACTGTGTACAGCAATGGTAATATTAGCTGCCATTCGGTATTCACCGAGAAGCCAGTGATGCTGTTGTTTGAAATATATAAAATCTTTCTATTAAAATATTTTTTCAGGAAAATGGGTTTCTCAAGTTCAGTAACTGCTGTCGTCCTTTCCAGAATTTATGAGGATTTCGTTCCTAATCTTTTCTTCGACAGAATATTGAATTCCAACACCTTGATAATATCATTATTTTCTCTTCGAATTTCATGTGATATCCATTTTATTTCTTGTTGAATGTCCTTAAGTGATGTGGTTTCTGTTATCTGGTACATTTTTTTTTTATTTCTTCTTCGAATTTTATGTGATATCCATTTTTTTTCTTGAAAGTTTTTAAGTGATTTGGTTTCTGTTATCTGGTACATTTTTTTTAATTTTCTCTTCCAATTTCATATGATATCCATTTTATTTCTTGTTGAATGTTCTTAAGTGGTGTGATTTCTATTATCTGGTACAGTTTTTTATTTTATCTTCCAATTTTATGTGAAATCTATTTTAGTTGTTTCTCTTGTTCAAAGTCTTTAAGTGATGTGATTTCTGTTATCTGGTACACATTTAATTTTACTCTTCCAATTTCATGTGATATCCATCTTATTTCTTGTTGAAAGTTCTTAAGTGATGTGATTTCTCTTATCTGGTACAGTTTTTTATTTTCTCTTCGAATTTTATGTGATATTCATTTTAGTTTTTGTTCTTGTTGAAAGTCCTTAAGTGATTTGGTTTTGTTATCTGGTACAGTTTTTTTTTTGTTGTTGTTGAATAAGTCCCTGAATTTTCACTTAAAATCCAATGATTGATTTTGCCCTTCCTTAAATAAAGTTGGCATATGACAAAGCATAATTATTCAAAAAAAGTTTGAACAAAGTAACTATATACAAAATGTTTTTTTTTTTTGCTGTCCTCTGCCAACTGCAATGATGGAGAAAGCATTACCTCGCACCATCGCCACTGAGACATGCCTCCAAGTGCCACTCTGTTTCGAGAGGATCGTTCCTTTTTTGTTTATCATTCTGTCGCGCCAGTCCATAATGTTCGAAGAAGGATAATCTTCGGCAAGATCCGTAGGCATCACTCATTCAAAGCCATTTTAACCATTGATCTTTGAGAGTGTTTGTAAACAGATTAGATATTTCTGAACGGGTATTGATCCCTGCATAACATCTACATTAAAGCCGTCTATCTTACCAGGTTATTCATGAACATACCTCGAGTTTGAAGTTTGATGTTTTATTTTTGCAAAGATTTATGTTGTCGCGCGAGACTACCTACGGCCTATTCTTTGTTCAGTTTCCTTATCACCTGTGCCAAATTTGTTATAACTCATCAGTACACCGAGGTATTTCAAGTGTTTGATACTTTTTAATGTGACATCCTGAATTTTTAGAATGATTTCTGTATATGTAACATCACTACTTTCATTCCAGATTTCAATTCATCGTTTCTGTTTTAGAAAGATTTATCTTGAGCCTTATTTCTGGGAGCACTTGATCGTGGATATTGATATTTTGCTGGAGATCATCCTTATCCCATTAATTAATATCTATGTCGTCAGCATAGACCACTCTCCATCCTCGGCTCACCGGCCTGTAGAGGAAAAGTGGTATCGCTGTCTGCTATTAGTAGATTCGTTCGAGATGGCTGGTGGGATACAAAAATGTTCTGCTCCCATCTCTTTAGATCTATACGTGTCAATATCCAGGGCATATTCTTGAAATAAATAGTATTAATTAATGGTACTCGCAATTCCTCCTTGTCCTACTCCTTCTGCACTTTCAATGAATTGGTCATTGGAGGCACCATCCTTCCCCACAAGACCATCCACAAGACTAACTGTACTTCGCCTGAGGGAAAGACCGAGAACCAGATCGACCACATTACCATC